TTGAGGAATTTTAGTGTAATTAACTCAAAGAAAGAAAAAAAAAAGAAGAAGAGAAATTACAAAAAAAACTCAGGATTTGAGTTTCATAACAAAATAAACTATAAATTTTTTATTTTATCATTTTAAACTCTAATAAAACAGGTAGAAAAGGTTTATGTAATGTGTATTTGTCATATTTTTGATAAAAAAAATTTACTAAGGCCTCGTTTGGAAACAGACTAATTTAATAATTTTTTAACTATTTGACTAAAATATGAACTAAAAAAAACTAGTATGTTTGGGATGACTTTTTAATTTTTTACGAAAAAATAAAAGAAAAGAGAATCTTTGACTTTTTGATATAGCTTGTTGACTTTTTGATTTTTTTAGTAACTTTTTTAACTAAAAAAGCCACTTGTCAAACTAGGCCTAAATAAAAAAATATATAAATTAAATATATATTTCATATTTTTATGTATTTATTATTATTTTAAAATATTTTTTATAAATATTTTATTTTTTAGATACATATAAATAAAGTGTATTTAAAAAAAAACTTAAGATTTTAAAAATATTTACTAAAAATAAAAAAATAAAAAAATTAATTTCAAAAATTAAAACCAAACACACAATGCATAGGTATAATTTGTCAAAAAACAAAAGTAACTACCCTACCCCTACAGTGATGGGTCACGTCGGAGAGCCCGCTTTGCCTGAGGATGGGTTCCACTTTGTGACCGGACTATCCGTCCACTGTTTGACAAGTGTTACCCGGTGTACAGTCTGCCGCTTGGGGGTGGTACTAGTGGGGCTGGCCCTGCGACACTGTCACGTGATCCATAATTATGTATAGGATCCATAATTTTATATTGATTAATTAAAGAACATAAAAATACGTATAAATTTGTAAGAGTTTGTTAGGAAATGGGTTGATTTTTTTTTGATTATTTTAATTTGAGATTAAAATGTCTGATTTAAGAAATATTTTTAGTTTTTTAATTTTTTTGATTTTTTTATGAGAGAAAAAATATTATAATTATAGATTAAATGTGATATTTTATCTTATTGGACTAAAAAGTCTATTTTGTTTTTCGCGATTATTTTAGCCAAAAAAAACCTCCAAACTAACTTTCCAAACGGAGGCTAACTGACTTAAAATATGGCTAAAAGTGTGTTTAGTTTCAGTTTTTTAAAATTTAATTTTTTTATTTTTGTGTATTTTTTTATTTTTAGTGAATAATTTTTTAATTTTAAGCAATTTTTTTTTTTACTTTCTTAGAAGCAACTTATTTATTTGTATCTAAATAATAAAATATTTGTGAAAAAATATTTTAAAAAATTAATAAATACACAAAAATA